ATAAATTATAATGAATTTTGGCACACGGAATGTTAACAGGGGCGTGTGTTCATAAAATTCCGCGCTTATGACGGCGCGTTCATAACAACCTATGTCAATGCGCATCGTTTTCCTGCGGAGATTTTCGGGAATTCCAATATATATTCCGTCAAAACGTCCGGATTAAATTAATAATCGATTTTACAACCGACACGGGGTGGGGGGGGGGAGGGGAAAAGCGGCGATTTATTAGCGTACCGGTGTTGTACATAAAATTGCACTTCACTTTCTCTCTTTTTCTTGTTTCGCAACCAACCCCCTTACCGTCGCCGCCACCCTCCCGCGTCGTCCCCTACCGTTACCTTCCCGCGCATACTTTTCCCCACCGCCCCTCCCCCCCACCCCGTACGGAAATTCAGCCCCCTTCTCCGACGCGGCGAGCTCTTTCGCCAGAGATTTCGATCGATCGTTTTCAATGCGGTGTCATTTCAACGAGAGCCACGGCAAGCGAACACTCTCGACGCTTAACGATCGTTTTATAAAATGACGTGACCCTCGTAATTTCATTATACCTTAATCCGACGAACGTTGGCGTTGCGGCGGGGGAGAAAGGGAAACCGCGCCGCGACAGAAAGAGGGGGAGAGAGAGAGCGAGAGAGAGAGAGAGAGAGAGACAAGCGGACCAGCCAGCAGAAGCGAGAGGAAACTGAACGGACGAAACGCTGAAAAAAGGGAGGGAAGGTAGAAACCTCTCTTCGATATTCAAGAGTGGCACTCGCAATATTAACGAGCGCCTATTAGCGAGTGGCAACTGGTAGAGGAAGGGAAATCCGTTTTGCTTTCTTTCGTTCTTCTTTTTTTTTTCTAAATACAAGAAGGGTTGGCGCGAATCTCCCGCCCACCCTGCCATTAAATCATCCGCCCCTCCTTTCTTCTCTTTTTACGAGACCGTTTTTAATTCGTTCCTCCGTCATGCGCGAGCTGAATTTTATCGCGCAACGGACGGGCTATAGCCGAGTCGATGGAAGTATCGACTTAGGCGACGCGGCGAGGGTAGTTTCCTGCACGTGAGAGACTGCCGGCGAACCGTTCGAAATATTTTTCGTACCGTGCAATCGATTTCTATGGAGCACAGTGCGATATACGACTTCGACACCATCTAGATTTTCAAATGTTTCGGGTCTTTGACTTGGAACTGTGATTTATGGGATACCTAGGTTATCCGTGAAATACACGGCCGAATGAAAATTATTCGGGCGCACGGATATCTCGCGTGACAGCCGGCTAACCGAGTATGTACATACTCGGTTACCTGTTAAAAGAATATCCGAACAGTGTCCTGCAAATTTTTAAAATATCAAACGATCAACGGTGTAATAATTAATTGTATTTAAATTTATTATTTTTATTATCATGACTCTCTCTCTATATATATATATATTTTATTATCATATTATTACACAAAATTAAATTAAATTAAATCAGAATTAATTTGAATTAAATTAAATTAAATTGAATTAAAAGAATCTAATCTGTTACAAAATATGAGTAAAATAATTTTGTATATTATTTGTTCTTTCCTCATTAATTAATTTTTCGATGCGTACACGTCATTTTTCATAATAAATCGTCAATATCATGTGTACGCTCTACTATAGAAACACGCTGACAACTTTGTATGGTATAAACTCGTATTTGTGCTGGGTGTCCTCGGAGAACTTTCATTATAAATATAAAAAATGAATAATCCGTGTTAAAATAGTAATGGCTCTTGTAACCAGATATATAACACCTTATTCGTTAGATTCTCGGTTATTTGGCTGTCCCATAGGTACTCGGGTACCCGGGTATCTCGTATGCCCGAGTAAAGATACGCTGACTAAACCACGGGAAAATCGGGTACGAGATTGTAACGCCGCGCTTCGTTCGACAGAATGAAAGAGAGGCCTCGTGCTCGTGTTTGTTGCAAGATGGTATACTTCTATGCGGCGTAGACCGAACCAATCAAAGGTTCATTGCGTGACGGAGACGCGCTATCATTGTTACTACGACGAGAGATCCTTCTTCGACGTGAACAAGCGGTAGATAATCTGTCCAACGGAAGATCTTCTGTCAACCAACCTCGTCGAAAGCAGTACCGAAAAGTGGGAAAAATTGAAGTCGAAGAGCGAGGAAGGATTATAATGCAGATGTATCGCGGAGAAGTAACGGCGTACTTGTTATTTGACTTTGACTTCCAAATGGTAAACATACCGCAACCGATACACGTCCGAATAAACATTCGGAAACCCGATACGTCGTTGTTATCGCCGCGGGGAGAACTTGTGTCTCCGAAGAGCAACAATGCACCTGTTACGTACACGGTATACGGCGGTTCGGGGCACCGTGCAAGGCTCGTTGGAAAACAGACGGAGAAAAAGTGAAATGTGTCGATCGTTTATGAACGATGCCAGATGCTCGGCTCGATTTCGTAACGCGCCGACGAAGTGCCAACTTCTTTATCAACATTTACACAATGCCTGCGCAATAACTGATTTATCGGGTCTTCGCGTCGAATGTCTACACCTGATATCATGGACAAACGATCAGCATCGGTAAACAATCTAATGTGTTGTTACGCCGATAAGCCCTCTCGAGCCCCTCTTCTCTCGCTCTGTTCTACTCCTCCCCCCACCCCGAACATCACGCCGAAACGAAATCGAAAATATAATACTCGAATACACGGGACGTGTTTCGGCTCCGGACCCGATGGCTTCGAATTTTGAAACGCTTCGACGACTAAGCGTTCGATATGGAAGTTTACGCCCGTCGTGTTTACAAACGTTTGTTTGAAAGATGCTTGCCCGAAGTTTTACATAAATTCTGGGCAAATATTACTCGCACACCGGCAACGTGCCGCTGTCGTCGTCGACTGTTTGGCCTGTACATACAATGCCCGATGATTCTTGCCATTTGGATCGTATGCAGCTGTGCCGTTAAACGGTAAGAAGAATCGTCGGAGCGCAATGTCAACGGTGTTACGCGTCTTCGAATGTCGCCGAGGCCTTCGAATTTTACTCTCGGGTGTCGCTCGGCTCCGTCGGAGGTGGGTGTCGGGTTCGTTTCGGCCTGGATCGAAAACGTTCGATCGTCCATCTGTTGACTAAATGAAAATCGTTCGAGCCATTATTTTCGTAGAGCTTCTATGATAATAATGTTCCCGCGAACCGTTGCAGAACGAGCGTCGCCGGTCGCTTATCAATCTGCTACCAAGTATATTTCAACCGATCAACGCGCCGTGATCTCCTTTCCCTCGGTCCTTCTCGCGCTAAACAGAAAATATATACGCCGACGGTTTCGGGCCGCGCGAAATAAAAGCTCGTTCGTTCGCAGTTACCTCGTAAATTGCGAAGTCGCTGACTAATCGTGTCGTAAATATTCAACGAAACGGGAACGCGCGAAAATGGCGTGGAAACATGTGTGTACGGTAAACGAGAATGTAAAAGCGGGCACTTCGAAGCGACGAAAGAAAGAATATCGAACGAGATCTGGAGATGGCGACAGCTACAAAAGGAGACAAATGGCCGATCGAATTTATGAGCTCAAGGAAACGAACTATACAGGTTGTTCTAAAAATGTCTGGCAATCCGGAAATGGAGGATTCCCGATGTTATTCGAAGTAACTTTTCCCTTAGCGAAAATGCGAACCGCGGCTTTGTTCGTAAGCTATTAACGAAAAACACCGACCAATGAGAGGCACGCTCGCCTAGCGCTACGCGGCCGAACCAATCCGCGGAGCTGGCCTTCGACCACTCATTGGCTCGGTTAATAACACGCAAATAAAGCCGCGGTTTGCATTTTCGCTTTGGGTAAAAAGTTACTTCGAATAACCTCGGGAACCCCGTATTTCTGGATTGCGAGATATTTTTGGAACATCCTGTATTGTATATTGCTCGGAATCACATGTATTCTATATTGAGATATCTTGTAATCCGTTCAAGTACCGACCAAATATGAAGAACTTGAACGGCGATAATTGCAATTTATATAAATTCATTATCGGATATCAGAGTACGATTAACGATTGTCGTATCGTCGATAAAGTGCACCGACAATTAAACATGGTCATATCTTGAAACTAAAATATTGTGTAATATATTTAATTGTATGACCGAGATGCACATTATTGTTTATATAAAGGGTGTCTCAAGTACCGTTTGATATAACTCCTGAACTACACGTGATAGGGCAAAGAGATGTACACATATTTTTCATCATTTTCTATGTAGAATGTCACTACATAACAAAAAATTTACAACTTATTCGTCAAGGTTATGTCAAGGCCACTTTGAAATGGAATATCATATCTTTGTTTTGATATTAGGAAAGTGCAGAACAAGATACGTTCGGTACAGATCTTTGATATGACCTTGAGATAATTCAAGGTTTCAAAAATGAACTAAACGATACTTATCTTGGGACATCCTGTATATTTAAGTTCAGTTATGTAGAGTTTCAAAGTCACGTTAAAATGTGTAAACTGCCTTATAAAATATAATGTACCGATACTGTCAGAAATTTATCATTAACGTAAAGTAGTGAATTATATATATTTGCACATAAAATTATAATTACGAGGTTAGTTTTTTCTTAGGCAGGAGCTTTTACTTCTTCCAGTATCCTTCTTTCTACCAGTAGAGAAGATGGACGTCCTCGGCTCAGTGTTGATACATCGATGATTCATTTTGCCCGTAGGACTTGCTGGTGATATTATTTACGGAATAGAAATTCGCCAAAATTAGAAATCTACTCGCAATTGTATTTAATGCGCACAGATTCGAAGTAATTATATTGCAACATAATACTAGGTAATACTATGTAACATAATTATTTTGTGCCATTAATTATGTATCACCTACACAGATGTTGGTTGATTGAATAATATATACATATATGTGTGTATAAATTCATTAACACGACATTAATTCTATAGAAAATAAGTATACAATTATCGAGGAAGAAGTTATGTTTAAGAAGTACAATGGAACAGTAAGAGGAGCTGATTATATTGTAATTTTTAATAACGTACAAGTACAGCATTAATTATTTAACATATTTTTACATTGAAATATCAGAAGTACGTCACAAGACTACAAGCTATGTCGATTAACGAAAAATCAATGTTTTACATAATATTCCATTGTATGACATCATTTTAAAATGTTTCAGATTTATCAAAGTCATTGTGTCTTTAATTAAACTCGCGTATACAGTTACAATTATTAATAATATTTGTGATTATACGTTGTGAATATATCTTATGTTTTTCTTGGTCGCTGTAATTTTTTCACTTCTTTAAAGCTACCTGGTGTCTTCTTTATAATTACTCTAGGTTATAATAAACTGATTTGTGCTTAGAATGAATTATTGTTTAGGTGTACTATCTTGATCTGCAAAATATTTAGTAGCATTAGGAAAACGTAAGGGATCTGGGAAATCTGGTGATTCGTATCTGAATGGATTCAAGCAGTCTCTAATCGCTTGACCAAATGCACGTCTGACACCAGGATCTACTGCGACAGCAACAGCAGCGCCAGCAACTTCTTCCACGCCTGCACGGGTTACACTTTCTCTGACTAAACGTTCCATGGATGCAGATATTGCAGAATGATTAGGCGTAGGACTAATCAATAACCGTGGTTTTTGTTGTTCAATTAATTTACGACGTTTGGTAGGCAGTGTGCCTAAATAGGCATCGCTGAATGCCCCTACACCTCCGCCGTTTGTCAAGCGTTGTATTTGCAACTGACGACGTTGCCTTACGCTATCCTGAGCAATGATTGGTACCCAGTCCTATAATGCAAAAAGTATTTTTTTTTATTTCCAATTTCCCCAATGTTCCAACGTAAATATATTTCAAAGCAGAGATAGCGACAGATAAATTTACTGAAGGTAATTGTTCGTGGTTTGGAAACGTCGCTGGAATTTCTTCTCCATCCTCTGGTGGAGGAATTTCTAAAGTTGTTCTTTCTTCCGCAGCTTTAGTCTCCATAGGCTATAGTGACATACATTTATTTACTATTTTCAAATCTTACTTTTAATTAGCAACATTTTTCTACGTAATTTACCTCTGTCTCAGGCTCTGATTCAGATTCTGAGTCTGAAAGTGTTGTCGGCATTTTGTATCTTAAAATGGAAAGAATATCGTCCCCAGGTTGTGGAGGATGTATCCCATTAGTAGAAGAGGGTATAAATAGTTCTTGCATCCAATATCGTAAAGTAGGTTCGTAGCCTTGTAACCTCTCAGTCTAATCGAAACATAAATCTAGTTATTGCGTATTTAAACGTTGAATACGGGATTAATATATTAAACGTAGTACGTAACTCACCAAGAAACGTTTTATAATAGTTCTCAATCTCCTTACACCATCATTAAAGTGGAAATATCGGAGTACTGCGTGAAATTGTCTCCTCAAAGTCTGTAGAATATTGACAGTTTCTTGCGCAAATGTAATATTGCTAACGTCTTCGAGAAAACGATTGTATTAGAATACTGTTAGGAAAAACTTGTTTCGGTATAAGAAATTTATAAATATGCATACGAACCAACAGCCAACAGTAATTGTATAATATGTTTGAGATGACGTTGAAGCAAACATTCTATGGTTGCACAAACATCTATACCGACGTTATATCCATCATTACTATCTAATTCTGCTGACAGGCTTTGCAAATGTGGTTTAAGTTGTGTTAACAGTCGATTCACAGCCAGCTCTTGAAGTTCTTCTGTAGAAGCATCAGGAAAAGTGCGTACTAAAAATGTTAATAATGGCATTCTTTGATGACAAATTGGTTTCCAATCTCCATGTTGTAAACTCATGAGATCTGACATTGTCATGTTTTGTACCTAATTGTTTAACAAAAAACATTATTCTGTGTTATTATTATATAGGACACTACAAAATATTCAATATAAATAACATGTTTGCTAATTACCATTAATGAGGTTAGGCTTAGAAGGAAGTTTTCTTCGGTAATGCTTGGACTCTGTGAACCAAACAGCATTGTGTAAGGTGTTTGTCCATAATTCAAAGCCCTGAGAAGTGAAAAAAAATGTTGATGTTATCTACATTTTGTATAATTAATCAAAATGTTACATAATGTAAAAAATCAACGAACATGTCTACTACCGATCCTAAGTTTGGTCTGGGCATATAGTAAGAATACCTAAAATTAATTTCGTCGATATCGGGATCTACAATTTAACAAGAAAATATACATTAATACCTCATATCGTAATGTTTCGTTTATGTTATTGTAATGGTTACATACGTGTCTCATCTATAGCCCCTCCTAGTATCTGATGCACTAAATTCATAACGGGACTTGCACGTGATGATGATGATGATGGTGATGATGAAGAAGATGACGATGATGTAGAAGATGATGCTGCCGGTATCGATGTTGTATTAGTAGTTGTGGTGGTGTTCGTAGAATTAGTATTTGAAGTGGTATTTGTAGAAGTTGTGTTATTGGTAGTAGTTGTTGAAGTTGTATTTGTGGTATTAGTGTCATTGTTGGTAGTTGTTAAAGTTGTTGCTGAAAATAATTTTAATATTAATTTTACTTTATATAGGCACAACAGTTTACAACAATTACTTTTTAGTAGTTATTTTAATTATGTACCAGTTTGAGATTGAGGCGGAGTTTCAGTTGTAGACGGGTGATTTGATCGAGCTCTTTGTAACATAGAAGTAACTGTATTGGATGTACCAGATGGTGCTCGTCGAATATGATGCGAATTACAAGGAAGGAACGGATCAAATTCAAGCCCTTGGCCTATACTCATTCCAACATTTAAAGGATGTGCTTGTTGTCGCGACGTACTTCTAGTCTGCGTTGACGTGGTAGGATGAGTACCAACGTTACTTCTGAAATCGATAACAGCAATTAAACTTGATTAGAAGTCTAATTACAATTACGCTTCGTAAATAAACTATATTATGAACATACCGTGCTTGCGTACTTTGACCAGCATTTGTATTTCCATCGAGCGACGAAACTGTTTGTTGTCCTCCAGTTGGTAGACTTTGAGTAGTAATTGTGGAAGTACCAATACCACCTTGCATCACATGACCAGCGACAGCTTGTATCACGTTTCGTATAAAGTCAGGTGGCGTTGAACTCCAAGAAAATGCACCGGCAGGACCGCTTAGCCTTCCTATAAAGATAATGAGATTATACATTTTACAACTTACATACATTACAACTCGTAAATTGTAAAAATTACAGCGAAAAATATTTTTCATTCAGAACTTACCAGCATTGTTGTTGTTGTTATTAGTTTCACCAGGCTGTGTCTGTTCACTTCCAGATGCAGTATCCATATTACTTTCAGGACTAACTTCCATCACCACCATATCGTTCGGTAAGTTGAAAACTGCACCTGAGAAATAATTTTATTATTACACGAGACATTTTGTTTATTTTTAAATAAAATTATATTTTACCGAATGGAGATTGCGGTTGTTCTTGTTGTTGATTATTTCCTTCCGGATTAGTTTCATTTGTTTCTGTTTGGACAGCTGTACTTGCAGTTTGACTACTCTCTTCATTAGTATTATTGTTATTTGAATTTTGACCATGTATACTAAAATGGGTCTGCAAATATTATCATCATAAATAACTCGACACATTACTAGCTTAAATAAAAACATTGAAATATATAAATTTACTTAGCTGTACCTCTACCTGAATGGGGAGTCCAGGCTGTAAAATCGTTGATTGTTGAATAATAATCGGTCTGCATCTCAGATTTCTAGGTGGTTCTTGACTCATATCAACACTTATGTCGCTTAATGCATGGCAAGCATGAGACAAGTAATGTAAGCTTTCACTGACAACATTCACTATTCTCTGACTTTCTTCAACACTTCCGGGTCCTCCCTACACATATTGATGATGTTTTATTAGAAAGGATTGTTAAGTGTGCCATAATTTGTTTGCAACATTTACTGGAGAATTTGATATACTTACTCCTCGAGGTAATGCTCGGTCCTCTACCATAAGCTCGCGATAACGGTCGACATAAGTTCGTAAATTACGTTGGGTATCCATTAATTGCTCCAGCAGTTGTGCCATCATTGGAGGCCGCGCTGGTCTAGAAATATAATGTAAACGATATGTACAAATATGTATATATCATACTAGTAAGACTCATAAAAATCATTACTGCGATGCAGCTCTCTGTTGTTCAGATTGCGATGGTTGTGACTGTTGTGGCTGATTATCTGGTTGTGGCTGATTTTCTTCACTGGCATCGTTTGCCGGTGCTGCCTCCACATTGTCTTCGCTGCCACCTGTTTTTGTATTTTACAATTACATATGTAACATCGTTGTATACAGTTCCTGCTCGTGTACACACCTCTATATAATGTGACATTACTTGCTCCAGCTGCAGATAAAGCAACTGCAATTGCTGCGGCAATAGTCTCTGGTAATCTGGTGCCGCTGATTCCTCTGCCGTCATTATTACTAAAAGGACTGAATAATATACGAATTTATTGTACCGTAATATTTTACAATTGGCAGAAGTTTCTTTGTACTCACAAATGTTCTGTTTCTATTTGCTGTACATGCACTTGCTGAGCTAAAGGTGGCGATTGGTTAGTTTCAGGCATAGCAGAAGTAGAAGAAGAAGAAGAAGTAGTAGTAGTAGTAGTAGTAGTTGTAGTATTCTCTGCAGCATTCTGATCCGGAAGTCTTTCTATGAGCGCATTTGCACGTTGTAGCATTCGTTCTGCCAATAGCAGACGGCAACGCGATAGACTGTTGCTCAGTTGAGGTACTGCTAGTGGAATTCGATAAAAATTTGTATAAATAAAGTATCTTCCCCTAAATATGGATTGTACCATTCAAGAAACCTAATAATCGTACCATGTCCTTCGACCATCTCTGCTGGTACTGCCATTGCACCCACATACATGGCATTACCATGCATTTGTGTTCTAGTGACTCGGTAATGTGTTCTTTGTGGATTTTGCCAAACTGGTACTCCAGGACTTTGGCCTTGACCTTGAGCTCCATCGTTTCTTCTTTGACCAGGTTGCGGTGGTGCACGTTGCACCAAATGTATCACTTTTCCATTAACATCTATGTAACAAGCATTCAAATTACCACGCAGCCCTAAAGTCTTTTTACTTTCATAATTATAACAAAATAATTTTTTTTACCATAATCAATTAACTTTTTGTCATCTTGAAGGACTCTACCACAATAAATAAGTCTTTGTGAGTCTGCTGGTAATGCAACTGATTCTGCTATGTGTTCTTTGAAGCCTCGTACAGTAATTTGCTTTGAAATATACAAATAGAAACAATTTATATATATATATATATATATTGTATATCCATTCATTTGTAGTATATTGTAGAACACATTTTGCTGCATGTACTATCTTGTTTGGTTTTGCCACATGGTAACGACCAATGAATAATTAATTAATTTGTACGATACGTAATTCTATAATTATGTCAAATTGATACAACTAGATTTTATGTTGTTGTATAACCTAATTTGTTAGTACATCAGAAATCTGTATCTTGTGTCAAAAGTAAAATAGTTAAAACTTGAATAAATTTGCCCGATGATATATATTGCAACAAACATATAGATTATGTGCATTACCGAAGTTCAAATTCATATATTATTAACATAACGATTTCAGTAATGATATATTGGAATACGTAAATTATAATAATGCAGAAATCCATGTAAGAGGTTAAAGGTAACGAACATTTGGACTTAAACATTACAAATTACTTCATAGTATGATATATACGATCAGCAAACGTCACTGTCTGCATAGTAACAGTTTCTAAACGGGCGAGTAATACCATAAAAGGTAGCAATATCAAATTCTGAGAATCTTGCAGCTAGTAATGCATATCGCTGAGAAGTCATAAACATGCAGAGATGGAAATTCGTTGGCATGAAAAATGCAAAGGAGGAAAAGTACTTACGTCGTCTTCCAAAGAAAAAGCATGATTTTGTGAATCCAAAGTCTTTACTGTTAGGTCAATCATGTTTGATCGGCCTTAACTGAAGCTACAAGATCAAAATTTTGGAAAAACTAATAATACTATCGAAACGGTGACTACGCGTAAGACGGAATTGTCTTGCAACACTCACGCAAGCACGCAGGTACAAGAACTGCGAACGACAATTAGTCACTAACAAGCTAGTAAAAAGAAACGTGTAATACTCGAAGCACGGAGAATTATGTTTTCCTTTGCGAATCGATCGAACTTTACAATGAAATTACGTAATAAAATTCTATCGCGTCGATTTTTATCGTTTTTTTTAAAGGAACCGAACGTCGAAATTTCACAGCGACAGTCGACACGATACACGTTATTTTACCCAGAATTCGCTTTACCAGCGACACCATGGGCGTTGCCAATGCATTGGCAAAATTATTCCCTAGACATAGCGCGCCCACAGAATATCCTGTGACGCGTCTAAGAATCGATCTGAATCATCATGATTCTGCAATACCGACAATTTTATTAACGGCGGAATTTATCAGCATCCCGAAATATATTTCTAAAACTCGTTCAAAATTCTTTCTCTTTTCCGTCAGTGGTTGAATAAATTGTTGGTTGCAACCATTACGTAACATGAAGTTTGCAGCTTTTCAGTTATTGATGCAGAAAAACTGGTTCTTCTTTCCTTGCACATTTTCAGTTCTGTAAATAAGTCTTTTATCGCATCGTGACACATGATTCAATTGGATAATTTTAAACGGAGAGAAGATCGTTGCATTGGACTAACATATCACACCAAGTTCCATCAAATACGAAATGAAAGTGCACAAGGTCTACGCTCGGGTCTTCGACGGGTGTTTTAGCGAACGGAGATATTGTAAATTTCTGTTTTATCGATATTATTATCAATATTATTGGTTTACTATTTTATCGACAACGTCGATGTTGATTAATTATTACTATTGGCAGACAGTATCTCGTCTGCGACAGAAGTATCTGGACTCGATACTACAGAATAATTCGAAATCGTTGCTACTTTGTACGGTAGATGGTGCCACACGTCGTTATTAGTCCGTTTCAAATTGTATTTAATTCCATATTAATCTACAATTTGAACAACCAACAATTTTGATTTATTTTTTAACACGCTACCGTATACTCGTTCATCTAATAAATTTTATCGTACTTTTCGCAATTAAAGACATGCGATAACGAATTCAAACTTTGTATTCAGATATACACGAGAATAATATTTAGCCATATTGTACCATTTAATGGTACAAAACTTCGAAAATCGAATTGTTATCACAGACATTACAAATAAGCAGCATCAATTTGCTTCCAAAGAAGACGAAGCATGAAATCGTGCCATCTCGTTCGTTTCTTCCCTTCACGATTTTTCTCTTATTCTTCTTTCATATTTAGATACCAGAGTATTACCACATTCGTGCGCATAATAAATAAATACATTCAGCCGTGTCGTAAATCATTTTCGTTTCTGCGAAATGGACTCGTAAGGCCCGAGCTACCTGATAAATAGCAACGATTCGCTTCGAATAATAACGCTTGCATAAACGATTAAAACGCAAACAATATTTCTTTTATTATCGATAAACAACGTTAACGCGTTACCATTAAATATTACAATGTCTACGCGATGCCTAGGTATTCCATAAACGATCGGTAGTTAATTCATAGAATATCGTTGGTATTCGATGTTCTCGTTATTTTATTTACACGCTTAATTATTATATAAAATAACGTAACCCAACCGGTGTAACTCAAACGCTATTATATAAAATAATCGAGTCGTTTCACGAGATTACGGATTACATATGCTCCCGTGGCCAACAGATCGGCCAAAGTGATTTACAACTCGATTATTATTACAAATTATCGTCGACGACGACGGGGACCTCGTGAGTCTCGTTTCCAAATATCTTTGTCCGCGATTTCTTTTTTTTTGCTGGCATTATCCGCCACGAGCGTGGATCGATCGATAAACATGGATCGTAATCAGGGACGAACAGTTCTCGGTGATCGTTTTTGGCGGAGGATCCGTGCTACCGTTGAACGCAACGAAATCCAGAGATCGGGCCGGAGACGGGCATCGCGTGATCCACGGCGCGGATGAAAAAGAGAAGCGGTGGAAGATTCATGGCAGGTCGATCGCATTATTCAGATTAGGGCATCGACTGAGCCACACGAATATGCGAGAGTACACGCGTTCCTTTGTATGCGTATGCACGTGTACATGCTTATATCGGTGGAAGATAATACGGCCGATCGTGCACCACAGAAGAATGTTAATGGTGCTTCAGTTTTGTATGCAGGAAGTGACGGCGCGTCTCGCCTCATACCGTAGCGGGCCCCGGCGCCCCGGCGTCCGAGCAGAAAAAGGCCCAATAAGACCGATAGAACTGAAAAACCGAGAAATTCACCCGTAGCCGTGTCGGACGAAGATAAGAAAGATGCTTCTTTTAAATCCCATCATAAACATACTGAGCCCAGGGGCTCTCAACATTCCGAAAAAAAAATATTCGTTCCACGCGGTTCTCGGTCGGCTCTTTTTACAATTATCCTCGATCTTTGTCGAGGCTCGGTCTCGTTTCGCGCTAGAGCTATCCACGATCGATTTACAGTCGGCCGGCCCCTTCTCTCGCAATCACCGTGGGACATTTTTCATAGCGAAATTTTTAAAGAACTTCGACGTTCGGTAATCCCAGCGTTAAAATTGCAACGAAAACTCGAGCTTCTTTTTATATCGGAGATACGCTGGCCGGAGCTGCAGCTTCCCAATTAAGCAGCTATCTCGATTCAGCATATTTCGCATATTCTTGCTAACGTATTATCTCGTTTAGATCTCGACGATAATCGTAGACTGTAGAAAAAATGTGTAGAAAATAGATATACCTTTTTTAGATACAATAAATACTTTATATATTACTTTATATATTATATTTTACTTTATATATTAATTTTAGTCCAAAATTTATTAATAATTCTCGAACTATCAGTTCCAATCATTCGATCGTACGTTTTGATTATTCTTAGCTTATTACGCTGTAACGAATCGTCCCGATCACGATCATTTCTAATCATCCATTTCGTTCGGTAACTTCAAGACCATGACCAATAATTCTATCTTTCAATATTATAAATTTACTAATACGTACAATTATCTGATTTTATTTCTCCGACGTTTATATCATTGTTAACAATTGATTTACATTGATAGAACGTTGATCTTGTATTTTTTTGTAAATGTATCGTCGAGTTCACCGCGATCGATACCTGCCTGGCACGCGAATTAATCACCGTTCGATTTACTCACATTTTGGTGCTCGGGAGCTCGGGATAAATGATTCTATACCATCGATCTATTTTTATAAATCGTCCATATTTCGAGCTCGAGTTTCATCGCTAAAATAATCGACGCTTTGTAAACATTTCAGCGATACATTTCCCTTACAATCGCGGTCGAACACGCGGATTAGCGCGTACCAACGTCTTGCCAGCCGACGAAAAGAACACCAAAGTGTTCACAGAAATGTAACGATACGTAATTCGCTCTCGTTGCGACGCGTCGCAACGTCCGACGATATTCTTGCGAGAAAATTAGACGATCGACTCGGATCGAATTGAAAAATCGAATTCGACCGCGAACGCCGCTGCAAGCGTAGCAAAACGTACGGCGTTTCTCTCTCGGTACCCGAAACGCGCGTCAATTTCACAGCGTTCGCGGTTCGATCGGTCGTCGCCGCGCGAAGAGAATCATCGCGTATCGCATATCGGCGGAGCTATTCGCGACGAGCGCAGCCTCGCCGCAATTTTCCAGCAGCTCGTCGTAGCGCCGCGCTTCTCGCCCCGTTTCTCGCGGCGGCCACGGATTGCGTAAGGAAAGCGATAGAAGGATCGCGAAGAAGGTGAGATCCGTGAAAGAATTCGAAACAGTGAGCAGAACTTTGACTATCTTCGCGCCACCTTAATGTCTCCACTTACTCGAAACTGCTACCGGCTACCGCCACCTTTCCCGCGTCCTCCTCCCTCCTCGGCACCGCCGTTCCTCTTTCTCGTCGAAGAAAACGAGGAGTTCGCGTGCGTGCCTCGAAGCTATCCAACAGGGAGGAGATCCAGGGAAGCTGGGGAGAAGGGATAAACCAATATACCGAGGCCGGTAGCGAAAGACTGCGTGACACGTCGGACGCGTGCGTGTGCGTTGGCGCCAGGCCGCATTCTCGCATTCGTTAACCAACACACACGCACGAGCTAGTTCTCCCCGCAGCTCGTGCCTTCTCCTCCCCCGTGCCTTCGCCTCCCTGGTGCCACCCGATCGTCGCCCTGGGCCCCCTCGCCCCGGACCCCCCCCCCGCGATATTAAGAGCGGTCACGGATCCCAAATTTGCCATCCGTGGAGGAGGGCGGGACATCGATTTGTCCTCGTCCCGTTTGCACGCCACCGGTACGTGGCCGAGATGACCGGTTTCTACCGGCGCGAATCGGTCGGCAATCGTCTTTCGGAACGAAGCAGTTCACGAGAAAAGAATCGTCATCCAGCCTATCGGGCGAACCGATACGCATTGTCTTCATCATCGGGCGGTGATGTAATTTCCGTTCACCCGGGGCACGTCGCCGTCGGACCTAGCTCGCGGCCCCGTTCGACGTTCGGGCCGACGCTCGGCACCGCGACGCCCGTGTTTCGCAGCGTTCGGTATCGGCATCGGTATCGGGGATTCCTGATAGCAGAGGCCAAATGTAACGGTTGCGTCGACAATTTCTATCGAATCGCCGCGACGTCGTCGTCGTCGTCGTCGTCGCGCGCTCGAATTTCGCCTCGATCGCTGGCTACGAAACGATTTGAAACCGTGCGATTTGTTTCCGTGAGAACGAACGTGCTTGGAAGACTGCCGTTATTTTTGATTCGATTTCATCGAAGAAACGCACGGGATAAAGGATTTATCGTTCGTTATAGGATTATTGTAGGACCGAGAATATCGGGCGGTTCGTTCGCGTATTTCTTTATTGATATCGTTCGTTATTTTACGTCGGTGCGAATGATCTTTTGTATTTGTGGATTCAATGGAGTTATTCTTATTCTTCGTCTGAATCGTCCACATTTCTAAGTCTAAGTATTTTATCCGCTAAATTTCATTCGATCGAGAACGTTGAGACATTTTTATTCGGGTAAGTACAGTGAATTCTTCCTAATCGATGCTCGGGTTGTGTACAAAAATGGACAATTAGGAAGAGGAGATACGGTTATTAATTATTAATCAATCGTTATACGATTGTTCGAGCAACTGTAAAAATAATAATATATCTCGAATAATAATAATAATCTCCTCTTCCCAAATTGTTCATTTT